TGGTGCGGTCGAAGTAATACGTACGAACGCTTCGAAGCATTGGCCAATCAGAAGGAAGAATTTTATTTTTTAATTAACCAATCGAAGAATGTGCTTCGAAGCATTTGTATTATACACTGACCATACCCATAGTTTTTCGGTTCATCTTATCACGAGACTCTCCGTCTCCGGATTCGCGATGACTCGCGACGCGCAGGTGCACGCGCGCGCGTGCGTACCGGCATGTTTATTCGATTAGAGTGGCTGTAAAGCGACAAAGCGTGCGTCTGTCCGCATCCGTTTTCCGCCCAGACCTCTTAAATCCCCCAAGTGCAACGGGGGGGAGGGCGCGTTGGCTCCTAGCCCGAATTTGCATAACCCGCGATCTTTGCGATACAGGGTGTCCTCCTAATTCCCGGTTACTTGGCGCGTAGGCCGTGATGAATATCGAGTGAAAGGCACGCGGCTGCCCTGGCTCTGCTCGTTGCACGGATTTTCGTGGAAAACGTGGAAACGCTAAGCTCGCTTCTACGTTTTCTTCTCTTATTTCTGGGTACCGGTATACAGAAATGCATCCACACACAGCGCACGTTTCTATCGTTGCGCTCGTTTTTTCACTGTTCATTTCATTGCTTATATAAGTCCTCGAGACACGCACCTCCTCTAAATTTTGCATACAGATAAATTATTTTTATCCCCGCATCACACGATCAGTTTTGTGTCGACGTATTGTACATTGACTATTTGGTTTTATCGTTTATTTATATGTACTCGTATACAAAGGTTAGCGCATAGTATAGCGATCTAGGCTCTGAATAATCCAGCGTATACAGTTAAATATTCCATTAAGTGTACGATAAATGTACATTCAGTATTCATTGCTATCATACATCACTTGTCAAAAAAATCCTTTAAAAATAATACCAAATAAATGTCATGTCAAAATATTTCGTGAACATGATGTACGAGTATAATATACATAGCATAATATATCATTTGAATTTGAAAAAGTGACACAAAATCTCACTCTCGCGAGTTTCTTTTACAAAAATTTGACTTTTCAATTTATTCGAAATCAGTACAAAATATATACTCCGAAACTTATCTTTGACTCTCTACATAATTATCAATCATTCAATAAAATATATAGATCTAAAAGAGACGAAACGTCAAAATGACTGTGTACCGCAAGTTTACAATCAGACTAATTTAAGACCGTACAGTCTTAAGATGTGTCATGAACCAATCAAAGGGTCGTATTAACAACTTGAGACATTACTTAAGACGGTCTTGAAATCGACTATGAATACCGATATTAGATTGTAGTCCCTTGCTACTATGTAATAATCTGTCTGTAACTTACCTCAAGTGTCTGCCGTAAGGTGAGATCGGGGAAAAAAATATCCTGCTGTTGTACATAGCAGATTCTCCTGCGCCACCGTTTGGTCAGCCTCTCGCGATTCAGCCAGATCTCACCGCCGTCCACGCCAACGCGGCCGGACAAACAGTTCAGTAGTGTTGTTTTACCACAGCCTGCGTAACAAATATGCCAGACAAAAATTTAACGCCTCCGTATGTTGTCATGTAAACTCGTTATATATTTCAGTGAATATATCTTTCACACGTCGTGCGTTAGCTCGTGTCTCTTACGCGCGTGGAAATCCTTACGTAAAGCCGTATAAATTATCGATGGACAATAATTCGCGTCTAATAATCCTTTTGCCATTTGAAAATCTACGATTTTGTACTTATCTATCGTCACTAACAAGAACGGGTGATTTGGTCTTAAATCGAGCAAAACTCATCGAGTCAAAAACTCTTAGCTATTATATAATGTATCATTAAAATCTTAGAAGTTTTTTAGTTCTTCGAATCTC